GGGGCCCGTGATCGCCTTCCAGGGCAGCCAGGGGGTGAGTGGGGCGACCGGGGGGGAACCGGGAAACCCATGGCGTCCACGGAGGGAGAGGATCGGGAGGGAGACTGGGATACCCGGGGGAGACGAGGAGCTGGGAGGACGGAGGGGGACCGGGGGACCCAGAGCTGCCGGGGAGCGATGGAGACCGGGGAAACAAGGGCGGCCGTGGCACTGGGAGACCGGGGCGGGAGGTGGAATCCGGGGTGGCCGGGGGTGAGTGGATCGGGGGACCGGGGAGATCGAGGGACGGGACGGGCCCCCGCGGGCCGGGGCGCTGGCGCCGGTGCTCCCGCCGGTGGGAGCAGGGGGCGACGGGGAGGATCCGCCGGGGGCCGGGGGGGGCGCGGCTCTGACGGCCCATCTCGCTGGCAGTGCCTGACGGTGCCGGGGGACCCCGGGACCCTCCCGCGGCTCTTCGCCTTCTCCCTCTCACGCTGCGGCCGGGACGAGCCGCGGGGCAGCTTCGAGTGCGTGCGGCTGGCCGAGCCCCGGTGAGCCTCCGGACCCCGCCTCCCTCCGGTCCCCTCTGCCCTCGGGGCTGTGCTGGCGGCCCCGCCGCGGGAGCAGCCCCAGCCCCGCTGCCGCGGGCACGGAGGGGTGGAATCACTACCCCGGGGTGGTCCCCGATGGCCCCCGCCGAGCAGCCCGGTGCTTCGGGGCCTCAAAGTCCCTGGAAGCCCTCTCTGAGCTCATGGCGTCCTGAGCCCCCGGTCCCCACAGGGACATCCAGAGTTGCCGGGGCAGCGGCAGCCCTGGAGATGGGGCCTTTGGGGACAGTCTGGGGACAGGTGCCTCCTTGCTCAGGGTCTCGCAGGGCTCTCTCTGGGGCCATGGGCAGCCGGCTGGGCTCAGCTGGCGGGAGGTGTTGTTTTCTCCCAGGCTAGGTCAGAGCTGGCTGCACAGCCTGGGCAGCATCCAGGAGAAAATCACGGTCTGTGCCTGGGAGAGCACCCACTGTCTGTCCCCGGCGAAGGAGCCCTGCAGCAGAGCGGTTGTTGAGCCTGATCCAGCTGTGCTTGGCTACGGTTAGTGGAGTGCCACAGGCAGCACTGGCCCGAGTGGCAGTGGGTGCTGAGCCTCTGCCCCCTGCCAGGCTGGGGTTTGATGGCTGGGGGGGGTCTGCTGTCCCCCTGGGACCACAGCGCTGCCTCCTCCAGGACCAGCTGGCCCTGGGATGTGGTGGCTGGTGCTCGCCTTGGCCAGGTGGCAGCTCGGCATGTCTGGGGGTCTCAGTCCACACCAGTGAGCAGGAGGCACCAGTGGCACTGGGAGAGCTGTACAGTGTCCCCTCCCATCATGTGGGGGGGTGGCTGTGTCAGGCTGGGGACATGGGGGCTCAGCGAGCCGTGTGCCAGGACCGATGGGGGAGGAAAGCAGAACTGGTGAGTGTCCCCGGGGGGCTGATGCTGTTCTGTTCTGACACATCTGCAGGCAAAGGCATTGCAGCTTCTGAGAAGGTCGGTGTGACCGGCTCGCTGGGGAAGGGCTCTGTCTGCCGCGTCCATGTCCCTACAACAGCCAGCCCCAGGGCTTCTCGTCACAGACTGGCTCAGCCCCGGGCCCCGCAGCCCCGTCCCAAGCACAAGCTGGAGGGGACGCCGGCGGGCAGGCCTGGCCAGGCACAGCTGCTGGTGGCAGTGGAGGAGGTGGGGAACCGGCTGCGACATTGTCTCGGGTGTGGGAGTGCTGCAGCACACCCATCCTGCTGCGCTCCCCCCAGGTCACGGGGATGGACCCCGCTGCCTGCTGCTGCCACGGGAGGGGGACCCTGGCGGGCCGGGCGCAGGAGGACTGGCCAGGGACCATGGCCCAGGAGCAGCAGCAGGATGCCCCACTGCAGCACAGGTAGAGCAGGGGCTCTGGGGCAAGCAGCGGTGAGAAGAATGGGGTCTGGGGGTACTTGGTGACTGCTGGGGTCCAGCCATGGGCATGCCCCATCCACTGTGGGGTTTTCAGCACCCTTTGGGCAAGAAGGGACCCCCCTCTGCTGCCCGGGCACTCGGCGTTTGGAGATGTTTTCCCCAGCCTTGGTCTCTGGTCTCTGCTCTCTCCCGTGCCACAGGAGCTGGGACTGTGGACCCTCAGCCCTGTCCTTCCTGGTGCCTCTGCAGCAGCCTCCGGAGCACAGCTCCCCTCGGGCCACCGGCAGAAACCTCCTGGGGGTGGTAAGTGCTGGGGGGCTCAGGCGGCAGAAGCCCCCAGGTGTGTGTGGGGAGAGCCTGGCTCAACATAGCTGCTTCCTGAAGTCATTGGGCTTCTGCGCTGCCTCCACAGCAAAGCCCCTCTTCCCCCACCAACTGCGCTGGGGGTCTTGACTCTGCCCCTGCCTCGTGTCCTGTCCACCCCTGGCAGGGAGGGGAGGCTGGCTCTGCTGTGACACCCCCCCCGCCCCCAGCACAGCCCAAAGGACAGGGCTGTGTGCTGGCACAAAGCAGGGGACACAGCAGCCCTGAGCTGGCAGGGGACGCTGCAGCACTGAGCCCCAGCACAGGGGCCCAGAACAGGCCTGTGGCAGAGTGAGTTTGTCTTCCAGAAGCACCTGGGACTGCTGGATTCCTCAGATCCAAGAGCCAGCAAGAGGCACTGGAGCTGCCCACGGATGCTCAACACGCAGCACCCAGGACTGTGGGTCCAGCAGCAAGCTGTCCCTCTGGCCCCCAGCAGCCACGCTGGGGAGCTGGAGAGCCCCAGGAGCGAGGAGGAGAGGGGTGACGGCTGGGAGGAGAGAGTCCAGTGCTTGGAGCAGCACCTCTCTGTCCCCAGAGGTGAGGGGCTGCCTGGGGAGGGGAGACAGGGACATAGTTCAGGGTGCACGGCCCTGCCAGCCCCTCCAGCAAAAGCTGGACTGGAGCCTGGGGTGCCCTGGGAGGAGGTGGGTGTCCCAAACCAGGACTCCTGGCAAGCAGAGAGGCTTTGATCCAGAGGCCAAGGCAAACATGGGGAAGGTGCAGCCTCGTGGCTGGGGGCTGTCCCTCCTGCAGCTGCGTGGCTGAGGGGGCAGCCCCTGCGTCCTGATGTCCCCCAGGGCTCCATGCCCACCAGAACCCTGCCAGCCTGGCTTTGGGGAAGGGTCCTTCCAGCAAGCCCAGGTGTGGGACAGGTCCTGGTGGAGGTGGGGGAGAGGTCCCCAGGGGAGCTTTAACCCTCATGATCTGCTCCTTGTAGATGCCAGGCCCCAGGCCACCAGCTCCTCCTTGGCTGAGGTCCCCGATTACTTGTGGTAAGTTTAGCACTTGCTGCCACAGGGGTCCCCTGTTTCTTGGAGCACTTTGTTCCAGCCCCACAGCGTGGGACGGGCTGAGATGAGCTTCCCCATGGTGGCAGAACAGGCTGCAAACCAGCCCCCACAGCCTTGCCTGCTCACTGCCCCCCACGCCAAGGGCCTCAGCAACATGACGTGGCACTGCCAGGCCCTGCCCCGGGGTCCCGCGGGCCCGTGGAGAACATGCTTCTCCCGGTCGCCGCAGCAGGTACCGCACCATCTGCTCGTCGGAGCAGCGCCGAGCCTACGAGGCCGCGTTCAGTGCTGACTATGGCGAGTACTGCGACCTGCACGCCCGCGTGGGCAGCGTCAGCCGCAGGTTCGTTCAGCTGGGAGCCAAAATGAAGACGCTGAAACAAGGAACGAAGGAGCGCAAGGCGAGGGGGAGACCTGGGGCACGACGGTGCGATGCAGCCATGCTCCGGCCCCACTCACTCCCTCCTTTTGGGTTTCAGGCACTGGAAGCTGCAATTGTGGATGAGTACAGACACTTCAAGAAGGTGAGGCTGGATGCAGGACATGGACCGGGTTCCCTCCTGGACACTGTCCATATAAATATATTGTTTTCTCTTCAGACCTACCCTAGCTACCAGCAGGAGAAGAACCGCTGCGAATACCTCCACCAGAAGCTGTCTCACATCAAGAGCCTGATCCTACAGTTCGAAGGCAGCGGGAGCTCCTAGGCAAACCCTGCTTGCAATTTCCTTGCTTATCAGGGCCTGTTCCCCAAGTGGATCCCTGAGGATGCTTAGGTTAAGGCTGAGGTTCAGGAGCACCCCACAGCCCACGGTGGCTGCCGGGCTGCTCCCGCTGCCATTTCACCGGGGCTGGGTGGGTTCCTGCCCCTGCAGAGCAGGAGGTCCTGGCTGCTGAGGACCTGGCTGCCAGCCGTGACTGTTACTTACACCCTCTCCCAGAGCTGGGTCAGCTTTCCACAGCCCATGTCACTCACCTTTGCTGAGTTAACCTGCAAATCCTTCCTCAGGTGTCAGTTTCTCCTCAGCTGATGCCTCATTAGCATCAGTTTAATTGCAGCACTGTGGTAAGGGATACCCAGACAGCCACTGTCACTCCCCAGCCCTCTCTCACCTTTTGAGTGTCCTTCTTGGCAAGAAAGGACACTCTTGTCCTTTCTAGGAAGTCCTTCTTGCCAGAAAGCTCCACCAAAATGGTGCTTCCTTCTCTCCCCCAGCCCCAGCAATCACCAGGAGAGGACTTTGGGCCAGACCCACCAAGGAACTGAACTAGTGCTACCAGGTCTGGCCACAGACCAGGGAGCAAAGCCAGGATCAAAGAAGCTTCCCCTGGCTCCCCCAAGCCTGACACAGGACCTTGCCCTTGGGGAGCAGAGCTCCGGTGTGGTTTTACAGGAGGTAGTCACCAGCAGTCCCACTAGAGCCCGTTGCACGCCCCCTGCTCTGTGCACCACCATCTGGCCCCAGCTGCAGCGGCCCTGCCAGCTCGAGGACCACTCTGTCACATACATCCACCCAAACACCTTGGTGTCTGTTCTGGGGACAGAGCACCCAAGAGCCAGCAGCAGGGCACGGAGCATAGATGTGTAAGACACTGATGTAGCTGTGGAGGAAATGGTTGTGTTTCAGAACTGGTAGGGTGTAGCTGTTGTAGAGAGAGAACTGTGTGCCGAACATTGTATGATCTACTGTACCTGGAGACTTCCAGCAGCAATAAATAATTGGTCGTCAGCCTCTGGAGCTGTGGGGGAGGAATCCACAGAGAGAGCATCCAGCACTGGCTCTTGTCCTGGAAACTGCCAAGGATCCTCCCTTCAGCTCAAGGGCAGCCCCAGAGCCCCCAGGAGAGATGGGGCAACGGCCTGCTCCTGGTCACCCCCCTCCCCACTCTTCCCCATCAGCACAGCCTGCGCCCCCAGGGGAGTGGGTGACAGCCCCCACCACCCCACCCTCAGCACAGCACCCCACTGCTTTCCCTCCCACAGCCACCAGCCTGCTTCCTACCCAGAGAAGTCATGATCTTACAATTAACTGCTCTTAACGGTCCTAGTCATGCACAGGCCACAGCCAAACACCCCCAGCACGTCCCCCCTTCCCTTGGTGGGGTATGTCCTTCACATCACTCCTCCCTGCACCCAACCACTTCTGCACCAGCTCCAGAGCCCATTTATTGCTGCTGCTCGTGTGGTTGCTCCACTCCTCACCCAACAGCCCCATCAGGTACCACACACCCCAAACGCGCCGCAGCAGCGACCAGACAGCAAGAGCATTTGTGACCACAGCCCCAAAGCCCAAAATCCCAATAAATGCAGCACCTGAAGCAGAGCACATTGGGGCAGTCAGTGCTGCTTGGTCCTGGGAGGACTTGCATTAGCCCAGGAGATAGAGAACAGGCCAAATGCTGTGCTTAATATCTCGCAACAGACCTCTAAAGGCTCACTGGAGGCAACCAGACTCACGGGGGGAAGCTGCTGGTGACCAAGAGCAGGATCCTCATGTGGGGTTTGACAGGTCTCCACAGGACAGCAACATTTGGTCTTAAGGGGGTCATTTTATTGTTTCACTTCTCCAAATGTACAAAAAAAATTAGAAAATAACCCTACCCCCCACCCCCTCCCAAACCACAAAACAAACCAGCCTGGGGAGCCCCACAACAGTGCAGCTAAGAGACGGCAGGAAATTAAACAGAACTAGATACAGCAGCTGGGTCCCCGCAGCCCACATGGTCACTGGCTCTCCATAACCCAGAACTGGCCCCAGTCTGCCCAGTGCTTCCCCAATTCACACGGAGCTCGTCCTGACACAATGACGAGCGGGTACTTTACAAATCCTCCTTCACCTTCTTCTTGGATTTCTTGGTTTTATCTTCCTCCTGCAGCACGGGAGCGTTGGTCGCCTCCCGCTTCAAGTAGCTGATGAAGTCACTCACTTCTCTGCCACCCTGCAGAAAGCACCAGACAGTAAAGCAGGGCCCGGGCTCCCGGGGGGCTCGGGCTCAGGTGCCAGACGGAGACCTACGCAACCGCAAGCAGAGCCCTCTCCCCTGGGGCTCTGCAGAGCATTCCCAGCAGGTACCACTGGACACATTCCCAGGGAAACCGATGGGACAGAGGTCACTGCAGGGGCTCAGCATTATTGGACACCCGGATGCTACTTCACTTCTTTACAAAGTAGCAAAAGACCTACCTCGTACTTCTTTGGACTCTGCTTCTTGCCAGCTGGAGCAAAATAGATGGTGGGGAAGCTGGGGAGAGAGAAGAGACATCGGAGCTCCCAAGGTGCTCGGCTTCCTTTCAGACCTGCAGGCTGGCCCCTGCCAAAGGGACTCCCCCCACCTTGCCCTGGTTTAACACAGTGACAGCTTCAGCAGCTCAAAGCTTGGTGTGACCTCCCAAAACCTGGCCATTTCCAGAGCTAGCTGAGCTCCACTGGGCCCAAGTTTCCTGGCTAAACTGCTTTCAGAAGCAAGCCCAGCTTTCATTTCACACTGCCAAGAAGAGAATCCCAGCAGATGCAAAAGCAGTGGAAGGGGTTCAGCAAGACAGGCCTCCAGGCACAGCCAGGACCTGGGAATCCCAGAAGGCAGACGGCTGTCCTTTGTTTTCACTCCTGATTTCTTCACACTAAGCCAACACCTGGAGTCACACACCCATCACCCCCACCCACCCTCTCCTGAGACTCTTCCAGCTCTTCTGTGGTCAGGAGTCAGACAGGAGCCTGAACTCACCCACTGACAGGGAGGTGTGACAACAGTGAGACCTACCCTCGGACTTCATACGGAGAAGGCACATCATTGGCTGTAGCATCCATTTTGGCAATGACGATATTGGGGTCTTTACTGAGCTGTTGGTAGAAAGAGATGATTACTGGCCAATGCATAGTAATTAACACCAGGAACCCACCGACCCATGTCATCTAAGAGTGATGTCTGAAGGTCAGCACACAGTCTGATAAAGGGTGAACAAACATCTTCTGAGTGGTTTCCTTCTGCCTCAGGAGGGGCACAAGGATGAGTCCCTTCTCACCCAGCTGTATGAGGGCACATCTCCCAGCAGGACCTCTGGAATCTGGTACTGTGGAATTCTGGAGAATGCTCCCCTGAGACAACTGCTCACCCGCAGCTCTAGAAGGTGAGCCATGAGGACGCTCAGCCCTCGGGAAGGAGGGGTGTCTGACAGCCAAAGAGCAAAAGGCTGGTCAGGTCTGGGAGAACAAATTTGTTTGCTCCACTCATGAGAGTGTACAGGGCAGCATTGGCCTTCAGCAGGTGGGAGATCCTGATCATGCAGAGGGAAAACACCCAAAAAAGAACTTTGCCAGCTGAGGCCAGTCACTGAGTCACGGAATATTTATGTGCCACAGCAAGGGGAGCAGGCTAAACCTACAAGTGCAGCTGCTGCCACCCTCCAGGTCCTGCCAAGGTCCTTCTGCATTCACAGGGGAGGCCAACACTCAGTTATCGGGAAGGCACAATTATGCCCCATTATTATAAAGGCAGAGCCTGCAGGATTGTCTAGTGCTACAAAATTCTGTTGCGTTTCGAACAGAGTCCCAGACTTACCTTCTCCCCCAATTCTTTGTATTTGGGCTCCAGGTTCTTGCAATGGCCACACCAAGGTGCATAAAACTCTATCAGGACATCTTTGTCTTCTGCATTGACGATTTCATCAAAGTTCTCAGCAACCACCACCTGATAACGTTTGATCATACAAGTTAAGTTTTTCCTAAGTCAAGAACAGGCAGTAACACAACGTGCTCCACACACTCTGCCCTCCCACAGCAGGACTCGCTGCACCTACACTCCTTACCAAGCTGTAACACCCTCAACTTGCAGGTAAAAACCTGTCCTAAGGTACCAGCACTACCTCCAAGTGAGGTTGGCATCTGGGATTCTTGCAGAAGGAGGACAAAATAATTTCTTTTCCATCCCAGCAAGTTCCAGGCTGAGGAATCAGTTTAGCAAAACCCACTCAGGTGGTCCCCATGCACACATAAATAAGGGAAGTCACTGCTTGCAAGGCCCTCATCATCATAAAGCCAGGCCATGGAATGCTTCCAGTCAGGGCAGAATTTACCGAGACGAGTGAAAGGCAGCAGGAGTTCTAACACTCCCACCATGATGAGATGAACATGTCACTCTTTAGAAAGGAAGCCAGGCTGCGAGGGAGCACAAGCCAAGACAGAGACTGTCACATAATCCCTGTAAAGCTGGATGATCCTACACCTGTAGAGCACATCGCTCTGGACTCAAGCAGCAGTTATGGTGCTGAGAGAACAGAAGGGAATCAAAACCACAGGCTGCATTTCTCCCTTGGCTCAGAAAACTGCAATACAACAAGGGAGAGAATTCTCCTTCCCTCTATTGCTGCAGAGGCTTCTCAAGAGGCCACAAGGCGGCACTTGCAGCGCGAGACACCGGCACGTGACTCGAAGCTGCTGCTGAACAGCATCTCTTCATCCACGGGCAGGAGCTCTGCTGCGCTGGATACAGCACTCACCTTCACAGGGCCGTCGTTGCTTTCAGGGACAGGCTCCGATTTCAAATACTTTTTCAAGTTTCCATCGAAGTAATCTTGCAGGAATCTCTCCAGAGCCTTTCCATCGCGGCTGGAAGGGAAGTTACGTTTTACAGCCACCATCACACGTACAGGATGAGAGGGGAAAGCTTCCAAGGCCGATGTAAGCTCCCTCCACCCACAGAACACATGCCACCCACATGTCCCAGAGCACCTGCCCAGGGCTGGCTTAGAAGACCCCAGAACAAGCGCAAAGGCATCCTTAAGAGTTTTGAGTCTGGAGGCACATCCCTTTCTAAGTTTTAGGCCTTCAAGCACCCTCAAGTTTCTTTTTTTCAAGGAGAAAGGTAAAACTATTTTCTCTGCTCTTTAATGCATCATAGTTCTTATCTAGACACTTAAACACCTTGAATTAAATTATCTACCTCTGTGTAACAGGAAGGGCTGCCAGCTCTCTAGAGGGCAGGAGAACACATGAGTAGGAGCCATTTTGACCCCCCAATCATTTCTCTCAGCTGGAACATCCAGCTTTCCTGTTTCCTCTGAGCTAATCAAGTATGATCTGGTCAGACACCTCCAGAGCAAAGTCCATCAAGTGAGAGGCAGCACTGCTAAGTTCAAAAACTTACGAGAATTCTTCCTGCATGACATATTTCTCTCCTTTAGCAGTTCGGATGGCAACCACTGGAGCCTCGCCCGCGCTGCTGTCTAGACCAAACTCTGAAAGCTCATGGCTAAAGGTTTTCCGACTTGCGACAGCAAAAGAGAGTTTGTGGCCAGCATCTAAGAACTTCTTTGCAATCATCATAACTCTGAGGAAAGAAAAAAAAACAACAGAACACACAAAGTGTTATTCCTTGGAACATTTTCTTCCACATGATGTAATACCATTCATGTTGAAGTGCACACTGGGCAAGGAATTCAGGTATGAATAACAGGAGAAACTTTTGTCAACTGAGCTATTGTGCAGCCCCGACCAGGGGCGAAGTGAGAGGGGCTGATTAACCCCTGCTGCTCCATACCTGTTGCGCCAGTAGTTGGAGCCCTTCGCGTTCTTCTCGTAGTCCACATCATAATACGCCACCAGCAAGTCCTTCCCCTGGATCAAGTCTTTGTTGTCTTCAGTCATGTGTGGACAGATGCCAAAGCTACCAATGAGACAGAGGTATCACTGCCCAGAACCCACCACCCCCCAGAAACTGTTAAATGCCAGTCATCAGTAAGACCCAAGCAACAAACACTTTGCCCATTCACATACCACCTTATTCCAAGTCCAATCTCCATCTCCAGCCATAGCATCAGTGGCTGTATCTGACTTACATAAGGCCAGAGCTGGCACACTTCTCAGGCAGGTCACAGCTTTTAAACAGAGTGTGGCTATTAGAATAGGGACAGTAAATGCCAACAGCCATGCCAGGCTCTTTCTGGAAAGAAGGTGGTCCCCAAAGGAGATGGGGTGGGCAGAACAGCTCTTTTGGACACTGCACAGGAACTGCAGCAACGCCCGTTAGAGAAAACAGGTTCTGACAGGGTGGAATCCAGCTGTGGCCAGTCTGTCTGTCACCTTCTCTGGGGAGGAATCACTCACATGTTCTCCTGGATGAATTTCTTGATCTTCACACTGGTGATTTTATCTTCTGTGTACTTGATGGAGCTGTCTTCAAACTTGTTTGTCAGGCGTGAAGGGCGAAATAAGACTATACCCCTGAGAGGAAGCAGGTATCATGGATTAGTTTAGCATATCCCTGGGTTTCTAAGGACAGCAGCCAGATGCGGCAAGAACCCAACCTCCAGTGACCACCCACACTCACTGTTCACAGCTTCAACAGGACTGACTAGTTAGTGGGTGGCACTGCTGCCTTAGATCTGCCTCTCAGATGCTTCTCCGTTATTGAGACGGCCCACGATGAGAAACAGAAAAACCCCACCATAACAAGCAATGGGGAAGCAAAACACCTCTGTTGAGATACCTCCCATCTGGAGGCAGACACTAACTCTCCAGAGCCTGCAACCATTTGTACCTTTTATCTCAGTTCTGGAGAGATAAAAGACATACCACCAGCAGTTGGGGAAGAAACAAGACTGTAAGCTATGTTCAGAAAGGTAATAATTGGAATCCATGAATTTGTTTCAGACATCTCAGTAACAGGAAATCCTTGTGTTAAGAAACTTACTCTCCATCTTCGTCATACTTCTGCACCAACTGGTCCTCACTGGTGTGTGCAAAACGGTAGTTATCTCTTAGGTTGTTAGCTGCTTTCATGAATTCTGAATAAGCATCACCAGAGGCTTCTCTGAAGAAACCTGCAGCAGACAGACAGGTGGTGACTCCAAACCGACTCAGCAGCAACCACTGTGCAAGCCCTCATCGTTCTTCTCTATATCGTGCTGAAAGATCACTCCTCAATCAAGTCCTCCAATCCATGCTCAGGCCTTCATCTTTGATAGTTTCTCTCCCATTTTTGTTGGAACCTTTCTGTGTTCCCTCCCTTCCACCAGCAGAAACTTACTCATGAGTCTGCCCCGCTCAGTCGCTCGGCCAAAAGGCCGTTGTCCCCTGAGCACCAAGCAGCCCTTTTGTAACCACGTGACACCACTAGTGACAGCAACTGCCAATGTACTTCATAAAAAAAGGTTTGTGAATGCTGATCAATACTCAGCCAGTGCTGCTTGTGAGATGGCCCCCAGTCTGCACAGGAAAACTGCTCTCGCCACTTGTGAAGTGTGATCAAATCATACGACGTTGACAGCCTGTCCCGAGACACCACCTGAAGGTACTTTCTAGCAACCCAAAGCGACCTGTTGTCAGCCGGCCAAAAGAGCAGCAAGCTTTAAAAAAGCTGCACTATGGTGCCAGGAGGTCTGACGGACGCTCAAAGAATCACTAGATTAAAACAAACAGGTTGCAAGGAATCCCAGAGGTGACCGAGTCCCACCTCCTGCAGGACCAGCCTCAGAGCAGATCAGGTTGCTCAGAGCTTTGTCCAGCTGAGTTTTGAAATTCACCCACATTGAATGTTCCAAAATCCCTTTGGGCACATGTTCCAGTGCTTTATCATTCTCATTATGAAAGACTTTTTTGCTCATGTCCAGCTAGAATTTCTCTGGCTACAGCTTATGATACTGCTTGTCCTTTCACAGTGCATTCCCCAAGACAGCTCTCGGAGCATCGGTGCTGCACCGAGTCTACTCACCCACCACAGACGCATCTTTGTCACCAATGAATTTCTCAAAATCAGCCACAGAATTGAGAGCCACCGAAGCAGGTCCCGCCTGTTTCTTGAGATGACTGACAATCCCATCTTAAAAGAATTAAGTTAAATGATTAAAGAGATCAATACAAAGTTCCACAAGACATTTTTCAAGCTTCCTAAAAAAAAGAGTCATTTCTGCAGAATCAACACACCTCTCCCGTACAGCAAATGTGAATTAAAGGAGTGCTGTCACAGGAACCTTCTAGCATTTTCCAGTTACTGCACATCAAGGGTACTAGGAGTTAAAGATAGTGTGGAAACCTTCACCTTTAAAAAGGAGCTTTAAGGGATACTAAACATCCAGGGCTCTGACAGCACAAAGAGTTCTGGAAAGGGCAAGGGGGGGTTGTGTGTGTAGGTGGCAACCTTCTTTGTGTCCTTCAACACACATAATGTCCCTGACACAGGCCTATTAGATGTGGGTCTGCCTCCAGCACCATTTCGGCAAGCCAGACACTTGCTGATGAGCTCTTACCTGCTGTCCTGGGCCCATCGTAGGTTCCTGCCTCTTCTCCATCTCGAAAAATCTTTAAGGTGGGATATCCGCTGACTCCGTACTTATTACAGGTGTTTGAGTTTGCTGTACAGTCAACCTAAAGGAAGAGGAATGTTACTAGTCAGTGACCTGGCCAGCCGTACGCACAGAATAAAGTGGCTTTGCCATTGCCCACATTATCACACAAAGTCTAGAGAGCCTGAAAGCTCTTGGATGCCTTTAAACAAGGCTGAATTTCTTTCACAGAAAGCATACGGTTCCACAAAGCACCTACAAGACCAAAAGCTGGGGAAGGAGGTAGCAGGGGTATAATATTAAGCCCAGAAGAATTTTTGAGGCAATACTGGAAAGGTTAAGCAGTAGCAAGTTTGGCCAGACTACACACAGAAAAATAGCAGAAAGGGTAGATCCTTGTAATCAACAACAGGCTCAACGGGAATCAACTGCTCTCAGCACCTCACCCTTACTGAAGTTCCCACAGTGCCTGCAGAAGACAGGCCGACCTCAACTGACAAAGAGGCCACGGTGCCAAGAGCCTGTGCCACCTCCCAGAAAGGAAGAGGAAGACTCTGATTTGAGAAACCATTCACTTTTTCTGGCAGGAAAAAAAGCTCCTGTAGGGCAACCCTGCCGTTACAAGTCCAGGGCCACTTCTCCGGCTGGATCACACTGCTCACAGGAGGCTCCTTCCTCCCGCCCGGGCGAGCCCTCCTGACGCCCCGCACACCCCCTCGCACGCCCCGCACACCCTGCGCGGCTGCGGCCCTCGCCGCCTCCGGATTCCAGATCCTTCCCCGACGCCTGGCTCCTCCGGGGGACGATGCCCGCCGCTGCACGGAGGCCCCCCGGGAGCGCGCTGCAACGGAAAAGCCCGCTGCGGCCCGAGCCCGCCCGCAGGCCCCGGAACGGGCCGGTGCCGCGAACCCTCACCTTCACCAGCGGCACGATCCCCTTCAGCCTGGTCGCCGCCGACTCGTACTCCGGCGCCAACCTCTTGCAGTGCCCGCACCTGGGAGGACGCGGGGGGTCAGGCCGGCCCGGAGCCCCCGGCCCGCACCCGCCCCCGGCCCGGCCTCTTCCCCTCC